GGATTTCCAAGCAGGATTAAGGTGCAGGATTAAGTTGGGGCATGAAAAGGGGTCGGGTGGGGAGGGCTGGCGGCTGGGCTAATCCCAGCAGCTAATCTCCAGCTCCTCCTTCCTCCATCAATTAATGGCCTTGACATTCCCCAGCCCCCCAAACCCCTTTCTTATCCATCACCCAGTCCCGGGGGAAGCATTCCCTCCATTTTATGGATGAGGAAATTGAGACAGAGCCCAAGCGACTTGTTTCTGGTACAATAGAAAGTGCTCCGGGTTGGGAATGGCCAGCCTGGACACTTCTTACCTCCTTGGCATGTAGGAGAAGGCTTGGAAAACCACTGTGCAGACTGCTGATCCCCGATCCCCTCCTCCCCGCCGTGCTGAATGAACCCTGCTCAGAGCTGTCTGCAGGGAGCCTCTGCTTTAGTGACCTCTAGTGGACAGGCATAGCCTCTGGATGTGGGGCTCCCAGCCTGTCCCCCACCCCCCAAACCTTTGCCAGGCCAGGGGAAGGCAGGGGCAAGAGGGCCCCTCCCAGAGCCTTCTTCCACCCTTCTTTCAAGACCTCCCATGGCACCCCATGGCTGCTGCAGCTTCCTCTCCAGCTATCCTCCATGCTCTAACCAGTGGGAGCTCTGGCCCCCGGAAGCAAGTGCTTCTTGTTTGAAGTAACCTTGCAACCTTAACTCAACCTTCAAGGCCCAATCCACAGGGACCCTCTTCCAAGACGTCAGAGAGGCAGCTCCCTGTCTCTGGACTCCCATAGGCCTCCTAGTTAATTCTTCCTTCTAATGTATGATGGGAAGGGAAGGCTACTCATGGGGACTAAGTACCTACCACATGCATGCTTATCTCATTTTAATTCTCATAACTCTTTGGGGGTAGGACTTGGTATCCCCTGCCTACAGATGGGGAAGCTGAGGCTGAGATGGATTAAACGAGCTGTCCAGTGTTACACAGCTAGTGAGTTACACACAAGCACACTGGTCAGTGTGACATTTGAGAGTCCACACTGGGAGTCCACACTCTCCCTCTCTAGGAGTTTGGTTAGCCTGGCCCTGGGGTCCCCATGTAAGGGCAGGGGACCCAAAGGATACCTGAGCTCCTCTCTTACCCCTCTTCTGCCACCGCCCTAGAGCCGGCCAACCCGCAGCGTGGACGCACTCCCAGGCCACTGTGGCCCCAGCCCCGCCTGACAGGATGAGCGGCTCAGATGCGGGGCTGGAGGAGGAGCCAGAGCTCAGCATTACTCTCACCTTGCGGATGCTGATGCATGGGAAGGTGAGTGGGTGGAGCTCCACTGTGGCTTGGGAGGGGGCAGAGGGCAGTGTGAGACAAAGCCTGACCAACTGGAAGTTTGATCTCAGTGGGCCTGTTTCCCATGGAGCCCCTGCCCCCAGTGTGGGAGGAGCAGGGCCTGGGGCATTGGTGCCCCCCTCATTCCACTCTTGTCTTGTTTCCAGGAGGTGGGCAGTATAATCGGGAAGGTAGGTGCCCGGTTCTGTTGTGTATGTCCCCTTCAACCTGAAGCCTCAGTCCAGGAAAGGAGGCAACAACTGTTTAGGCTAAGAGCCATTCTCTGTCTTGTCTCCTGCAGAAAGGAGAGACTGTAAAGCGGATCCGGGAGCAGGTGAGGATGGCGTTTGGGAGAAGAGCCCAGGGTACCTGATTTGGAGGGTAGGGGAGGTCCCTGTTCCACCTTCTCCCTGAACCCCACCATCTGCGATGACCAGTGAGTGCCCCTAGAAGGTGGCCATTGCCAGCCTTGGCTGGGGCCTGGTAAGTGGGGCAGGCAGACAGGCTTCTGGCAAGGAAGCGGAGAAGGAGGCTCGCTGCCCTGGGCTTGTCCTGTACCTGCAGAGCAGTGCCCGGATCACCATCTCTGAGGGCTCCTGCCCTGAGCGCATCACTACCATCACTGGGTCTACGGCAGCTGTCTTCCATGCGGTCTCCATGATCGCCTTCAAGCTGGACGAGGTGTGTGCCCTGCTGGAGTGGGAGGCCAAGGTGGTTCCCGGGAGTACCAGGACTCTAACTCCACACAGTGGCTATAGGTGGGAGGGGAGGCCAAGCCCAGAGCAGGGTTCTCTCGTTGGAGCAGGACTGGGGGAAGGCTTCCCTCCTCACCCTTCAGCAGAAAGGTGCTCTAGGCATGGGGATCAGAAGGGATGAGCATGGCCAACCCACTGTCTTCCTGCCCAGGACCTTTGTGCTGCTCCTACAAATGGTGGGAGTGTCTCCAGGCCTCCGGTGACCCTGCGCCTTGTCATCCCTGCAAGCCAGTGTGGCTCATTAATTGGGAAGGCCGGCACCAAGATCAAGGAGATCCGAGAGGTGAGGGGAAAGGGATACCACCTGCAGGGAGGCCCACCCTCCGGTTGTGAGTGGGGACCTAGGCTTATGGCTTCCTATTCTCTGGGGAGCTCTGAGCCTGGGCAGCCCTACTGTGGGTTATGGGAGCAGCCAGAAGTGGCCCCTGTTCTCTGCTTGCAGACCACGGGTGCCCAGGTGCAGGTGGCGGGGGACCTGCTCCCCAACTCTACAGAGCGTGCTGTCACCGTGTCTGGGGTGCCTGATGCCATCATCCTGTGTGTGCGCCAGATCTGCGCTGTTATTCTGGAGGTGCTGCCCTGGGGCAGGGAGAGTGGACATGGGATGGGCCCTGGGCCTGCCTTGTCACACCCCCAAATCCTATGCATGTGACAGCAGGTGGGGGCAGGGAGGCACTGCAGGGATGGATTAGGAGCTCTAGGATGTTGGGATACATTTACCTGGGGGTCATGGGGAGGGCCTTGAGAACATAGGGCCCTTGGGGAGGTCAGTGGGGCCCGAGAGGGTCCTGATAGAGCCTCCCTATTTGTACCTTCCAGTCTCCACCAAAAGGAGCCACTATCCCATATCACCCAAGCCTCTCCTTAGGTACCGTCCTTCTCTCTGCCAACCAGGTGAGGGGAAACATCAGGCGGAGGGGGAAGCATTACTAGAGAAGGGGGATTGAGATGGGGGAGGGGCTAGAAGAAGGAATTGGGCACCCAGGGAGCAGGGTGAGGGGTAACTGGCTAAACTGTCCTGATCTGTCATAGTAACCCCCTTTTCACCCACATTGTCCCAACAGGGCTTCTCTGTCCAGGGTCAGTATGGGGCTGTGACCTCAGCTGAGGTGAGTGACCCACAGCCCAAGGCACCACTTCCCAAACCAAACCTTCTCTGACTTCTGACCCCTCTTCTTTGACACAGGTCACCAAGCTCCAGCAACTCTCGGGCCATGCAGTCCCTTTTGCCTCACCCAGCATGGTGCCAGGTGAGCAGCCCCTGCAGAAGGAGGCAGGGGCAGATTCCAAGGGGCCAAGGAGCCCCCCTGGAATGGGCATGGGGAGGCAGGAAAGGCCCAGAACCATACCCAATCCCTCTTCTCCCCCACAGGACTGGATCCTGGTGCGCAGACCAGCTCACAGGAGTTCTTGGTTCCCAACGACGTGAGCAGAGGATGGGGTGGTTTGAGGGTGAGCAGGGGGGCTCAGGGGTCTGGGCCTCACCTAGGGTTGAATTCCGCCTTTCCCCCAGCTGATTGGCTGCGTGATCGGGCGCCAAGGCAGCAAGATCAGTGAGATCCGGCAGATGTCAGGGGCACATATCAAGATTGGGAACCAAGCAGAAGGCGCTGGCGAACGGCACGTGACCATCACTGGTTCCCCGGTCTCCATTGCCCTGGCCCAGTACCTCATCACTGCCTGGTGAGTCCGGCTGGGGGATGTATCACATTTCACAGGGGTCACATGCCCCAGAAAAGGGTACAGGTGGGGGTGGGGAGTGCTGACCTCCCTTCTCTGTCTGGGTCTGTCCTCTGTCTCCCCTAACCCTGCCTCACTCACTCCATGTTGCCCCATCTTCCCCTTCTGCAACCATCCCTCTTGTCCTCTTTCCCCATCCCTGGCTCTTTTCCCTGGGTTTTTGGCCTCTTCATTTCTTCCCACACCCCATACTATATCTGCTTGTCCTTTCTTCCCATCCCCACTTTCCTGTCTTCTCCCCAAACACATCTGCCCCATGTCATTGTTGTCCATTCCTCTCTTTCATCTAATCTTACCCCCTATATTTGCATTCCTTGCGCCTTCTCTCACCCCCACCTTCCCCTTCATCTCCCCCCATATCCCTCTCTCCAGTCTAGAAACGGCCAAGTCTACCTCTGGGGGGACGCCCGGCTCGACCCCCACAGACCTGCCTGCCCCCTTCTCGCCGCCCCTGACGGCCCTGCCCACGGCTCCCCCAGGCCTGCTGGGCACACCCTATGCCATCTCCCTTTCCAACTTCATCGGCCTCAAGCCTGTGCCCTTCTTGGCTCTACCACCTGCCTCCCCAGGGCCACCACCGGGCTTGGCGGCCTACACTGCCAAGATGGCAGCGGCCAATGGGAGCAAGAAAGCTGAGCGGCAGAAATTCTCCCCCTACTGAGGCCAGCTGAGGCACAGGTGCGGGGGCAGGCAGGACCGCCGGCAGGGGGCTGCCTCCACACCCTACCTGCCCAAGGAGACTCCATCCTGGGGTCCCAAACGCCGCTAATGCCCAGACGCATGGATGCACCCCCCCACCCGGCTCAGGTCTGTGGGAGTTCCTGCTCTCAGAGCCGGGGTAGTTTCTGGCCCAGGGTTCTGGGAGCTGCAGCAGCCCCAGGATAGGGGGTTCCACCCCCTGTAGCTCTGTGCTTGGATGCAGGGAGCATCCTTAGTGCCCCCACTTTGGGGGGGGTCACTCGTGTACTCCCCATCCCTTAGGGCTTCCCAGCCCACTACCCCCCTGTGGGGGACAGGGAGGAGGGCTGGGGGGTGGCTGGGGGCCATGCTTCTTTCCCCACCTCCCTGCAGATTCTTGCTGCTTCCACTCATACCCTTTTGACTGGAATGGACTGGCTGGGCTTGGCAGAGGGCAACCCAGAGAGGGGGCACTGCCGAGCAGCTGGGGGAGTGGCGTTGGGCAGGGGCCGAGTTCTCAGCAGCAGACAAACTCTGTACAGTTTTTTCAATCCCTGTTTTTGAATAAATATTCTCAGAGACCAGGAAGCTGTGAAACACTGTGGGTGTTGGCAAAACCTTCAGAAAATGGGTGTAGCCGAGGCCCCAGAGGACCCCCATCTGTGAATCTACCAGCCCCAGCTGGGCCTCGGCCCCTTGCACATGCCAGTTCTGGGGCTTTATGGTTCATGGGGGTCATGTTGTCCAGCCTTCTGCCTCTGGCACCAAACTGATCCGCTTGTTTTCTGGGCATTTTAGAAGCTGATGGAGGAGTTCCAGTAGCTTTGTCCAGCCTCTCCTCGGTGCAGATGTCAGGGAAGTCTTTCTGAGTGTCTCTCCTCTGGTTCCTCTTGCTGTGCTGTAATCCAGACCTTGCCCTGCGTGGCCCATCCGTTTGGCTGTGAGCCCTTAGGGCTCTCTGTGATCCTGCCCACCTCTGCTCTTTCCTTGGCCTGCGGACCATCCATGAGTGTCCAAACCACCAAAGCTGGAGGAGCCCTTAGAGATGGTCCAGGGTACAGATGGGAAAACTGAAGCCTAGGGAAGGGTAGGTCTGTGCACAAGGCCCTGCAGAGTTGGGTCCAGAATCCAGGATTCCTAGTTCCCAGAAGCCTCTGGACCTCACAAGGCTGCAGGCCTCCTTTCTCCCGTTCCAGAGCCACATGTCCAGGCAAGGCACCTGCCATGACCTTTGCAGGTGGCTGGATGGGCTCCTTCTGATAACCACCCTCCTTTCTCCAGTCCCAGCTCAGCTTGGGAGACAGATCTCCTCTCAGGTGGTCTCTGGCATGCTCAGGCTCTCCCCTCCTGCCAAATCTGGGGCTTGTTTTAGTGCCTCAGAAGGGCCCAGGGCAGGGCCCTCTGGAGGTCCCTGGATGTGTTGCAAGAGGGCCCGCGGGTGCCACGCCCGTGGAGTGCAGGCTCGCGGGGGTCGGGGCAGCGCTTTGCGGGCGAGGCGGCCCAGCGCCCGGCGCACAGGGCGTTGCAGCAGGCCATACAGGAAGGGGTGAGCCGCGAAGGCCGTGTAGGCTACCCAGGTGACAGCCGCTTCCGCCACTGCGGCCTGCGCGGCAGGCACCAAGCATGCACAGCCGTAGGGCAGCCAGCAGGCTGCGAATTGGCCCACTGCCAGGGCTGGGGCCAGGGCTGCTTTGCCCCCAGGCAGGCGAGGCCGGAGGGGCGGCAAGATGGAGACACGGCTATCCAGAGAGTCGGAGCGCAGCCGGGACCCTCGCGCGGGCGGCGGGGGCCGCAGGGCAGCGCGGCGCGCGACAAGGAAGATGCTGCCATAGGCGCCGAGCAGCAGGAGGGCAGGCAGCGCGAAGGCCAGCAGCGCCCAAAGCGGCCGGAAGGGCCCGAGGCCCCCAGCCAGGACGGAGCAGCGAGCCGGGGCAGGGGGCGGTGCGGGCGGCGGCCCGAGCAAGGAGAGCGCGCCCATCAACCCCGATGCGGCCCACACGGCAGTGAGCACGAGGGTGGGCGGAGGCCGCGGGCCGGGCCGCAGCGGGTGCACTATGAGGCGGTAGCGCGCTAGGCCGAGCGCGGCCACGCCGAGCGTGCAGGCGGGCAGCAGCGCAGCCGAGAGGAAGCGCGCGGCGCGGCACGGCGCGGGGCCCAGGCGTACGCGGCCCAGCCCGGGCGGCGGCGCGGCCAGCAGACCCAGCGGCATGATGGAGGCGGCTGCCAGCAGGTCCACGATGCACAGGTGCACCAGGTAGAGCGCGTCGCGCAGTCCTGGCGTGCGCAGCACCACGATCAGCAGCGCGCCATTGCCCAGCAGTGCTAGCGCCTCCACGACAGCCGCCAGGATCAACCCCATCGAGCCTGCGACTTCTGTGGCGTTCAGCCCTGTGGTGTTGGCCATTCGGGCGCTCAGGCTCACCCTGTGCTAGGATGCAGAGAGCGAAATGGAGCGTCTCCCCCTCCCCCCATTCCCATCACCCGTCTCTTGCTCCTCTCGTCCCTCACCTCGTAGGCTGCCCAGGCGCTGGCTCCGACACCCAGGCTGCCATCCTCTTGGGGGCCTGGCTGGCCCCATGGAGGGGTGCAAGGCTGGGACTGCGGCTCTCTCCTTAGCCCCAGCAACTCAGCCCCAGCTGGAGATGGTACTGGCTGTCACTCTGATGTTGCCCTTTAGAGACACACAGAGCTGGCAAGGGAGGGGCAGGGCCTGGCGCCAGCCCCCTGGGTCCTAGCAGCTGCCAGCTGGAGGCTGGAAGCTGTGCTGTGGAAGTGCTGGGGGTACCTCTGGAGGGGGGCCCAGAGCAGGCACAAGCTGGAGTCTAGACTGAGGATGTTACAGCGTTGGCTTTGGAGTCAGCAGACCCTGCTCTGCCTTTCCCAGAGGTGGGAAGTGGCCCCCCATCTGTGGGGGTAATCAGATCATTCAGCTTTTGTACTGAGGGGAAACTGAGGTACTAGTAAGACAAGAGCTGGAGCAGGGAGACCCCTAGGTACGCTCAGGCCCCCAGCAGGGCTAGTTGTCTTGGAGAAGAGGCTAGGTAAAGTGAGGGGAAAATTGCAGGACTTGGCACGTGGTAGGTGCTCAGCCATATTAGCTTGGCACACAATAGGTGCTTCCTGATGTGTGGAATTAGTGAGAGGAGGCCTTAGGGGGCAATTGCTGTTTTTTTATTTTGTTTTGTTTTTGCTGTTAGCAAGTAAGTCCCGTTCTGCTAAGAGCACCCGAGTTTTCTTTAGGAAACCATCCCTCCCCAACCCTCAGGACTTGTGGTTTGAGTGAGCAAGATCCCCACCCTCCATTTTCCTGATTAGGCTCAAAGCGCAGTCAGTGTACGGTACCCCCCAAAGTGTCTGGCTCAGGGAAAGCCATGTGACTCCAGTAGGGCATATGCCTCTCAGGTAAGTTGTCCAGTCCCATGGCAAAACCCCACCTATACCCTGATGGCTTGCATTTGTGTCTGAAGCTCCTTCCTCTCCCCTGAACCCCAGACTTGGGTATCCAGCTGCTTCTTCAGCATCTCCCCTAGTACTTTGAGTACTGGGCATCTCAAATGTCCTGTTGTCCAAAACAGGACTATGACTCTTGACCCATTCCCAACCTGCTCTCCTCAGAGTCTTCCCCATCTTAGTAAACTCCATCTCAGAAGTTTTCACTGATGCCTCCCTTTCCCTCATGCTCCACATCCAATCCATCAACATATTTGAATCCAGCCATTTCTCACCACTACCACTACTATGGTCCCAGCCACTAGCACCTCTCACCTGGACCATTTCAGCATCCTCCTAACTGGTCTCCTGGCTTCTGCTCTTGTACCTTGTGCTGGTTGTTTGTCTGTCTGCTCTCAGATCCATTCCCCAGTCTTCCCCAGTGCTGCTCTGCCTTCCAGAGAGCTGTACTTCCCAGGCTTCTTTGCCAGTTGGTTTTTGGGTATATTCAGCCAGTGGAAGTTACCAACAGAAGGCTGGAGGGTGGAAGGAGGGCAGAAGCCAGAGTATTTTCCTTTTCATGTTCAGCCGGGGCTCTGGATCTACCTCTGTGGAAGACGGCTTCTCTCTCCTTCAGGCAGCCCCCTCTGTGGTTCTGGGCCTGCAGGGTGACCCCAGCCGCTGGGCATTGGAATACCATTTCCTTCCATTATCCTCCAGCCTAAGGGTGGTAGGAACTTCCTGCTGTTGCTAATCCTTGGATTGCTTCACCATACCCTTTGGTAGTTCAATTCCTTCCCTGTATCAAATTCCCCTTGTCTGGAATACCTAGAGTGATTTCTGTTTTGCTGACTGGATCTTGACTGACACACACCCTACAGTCTACTCTCTGCACAGCAGCTGAAGTGGATCCCTCTGAAAACAAATCAGATCAGGGGCCGGCCCCGTGGCCCAGTGGTTAAGTTCACGCGCTCCACTTCGGCGGCCCAGGGCTTCCCTGGTTCAAATCCTGGGTGCAGACATGGCACCACTCATCAGGCCATGCTGGGGCGGCGTCCCACATGTCACAACTGGAAGGACCCATAACTAAAAATACACAACTATGTACTGGGGGGCTTTGGGGAGAAAATGGAAAAATAAAATCTTTAAAAAAAGAAAAAAAAAAACCCCAAATCAGATCAGATCATGACCCTACTCGCATCCCTCCGAGAGCTTCCCATCACCAGAGTAGAATCTCAGCTCCTCTGTGCTGAGTTGGACTTCTCCCCACCTCTGACCTCCCCCTCCTCCTTCTTGCCTACCATCCTTCCAGCCATAGCAGTCATATTGCTGGTCCTCCCACTTGTCAACTGGTTTCCATCTCAAGATCTTTGCACTTGCTGTTTCCTCTGTCATAACACCCTTCCTTCGGATCTCTCCATGGCTTGCTCTAGTACCCAATTCAGGTCTCTGCTTGAGAGAGGCCTTCAGTGACTGTCTTTTCTAAAATCGTTCCACCTTCCCATCACTAATCCTTTTACCCTGCTTTATTTTTCTTCCTAGCACTTTTCCTACCTGATATTACATTTCACATCTACACATGTGTTTGTTTAGAGCCTGTTTTAGTAGAATGTAAGCTCCAGGAGAGCAGGGACCTCGTCTGTGTCTCGCTCGTGCCTGTGCCTCTAGAACCCAGCACAGGCACATGGTCAGCATCAGCACACATCTAGGTGGTAGACACCAGGGCATAGACCTCCAGGTTTGACTCATTTCCTACTGGAATTCAAAGGGCTCTGGTCCAATTATCCATTATTCAGAAGAGAAAATTGGTGCCCAGAGAGTGAAGGAATGTGTCCCAGATCACACAGCTGAGTTGTACCTGGAACCGAGGTCACCTGCTTCCTAGGCTCTGTCCACACAAGCACCACTTCCTGTACTTGGCCACACCTTGGACGTGGGCATTTGCCTCTAGGAGGTGAAGCTGGATTTTTGAGGTCTTGGTTCAGAGGAAGGAGTAGGTGTTGGCCTTCTCCCTGTCCAGTTAGGCCTGCAGGCCTGCGCCAGCCCCTGAGCCACCAGGGCCTGGGGAGGGCTCACCAGGGCCAGGTGGGGATAGCAAAGGAGAAAAGTGGACTGGGGGAGGCAACAGGAAGGGATGGGGGCTATGGTGGGTTGGAGAGCGCACGCTCCCGTCAAAATCAACTAAATAAAAATTTAAAACATTTTGTAGTTTATTTTTTTAATTTTCAAAAAGAAATGCAGGAAGGATAAACCAGAAATTACAGCAAGTGGGTGGGAATGGGGTGAAAGGGCTAGGAGAAGAACATTCTTCTGAGCACACATTTTTGTATAGATTGGACTTTTTGGAACTATGTTAATGGTCTAATTATTGGAAAAAAGAAATCAATGGAGATGAGGAAAAGCCCCTAAAAGTGAATATAAACAGAAATAAATAAACCTACCTGTATTTCAAATGAATAACGTAACTGCACTGAAGTGAAATAACCAACCCAAGTAACATTTGAACCTGTGTTCACACCGTTGACCACTGATCCTCAGTCTACAGATAAAAAGATAATCTTGAATAAGATTCAATAAATCTTGAGTTCTGCTTAGAACGTTTGTTTTTTATAATGGTATGGATGTAGCAATTCTGAAATTCCTTTTTGTGTGGGATTGAACGAATAAGTAAATACATTGATGTTGATGAAAACCAAGGTCCCATTAGAGAAGGGAGGTATAAATATGGATCTGGGGTAGAATGGAAGAACCCTGTGGTATTGGACTGGAGTTGGAGAAATGGATATAGATTATTTATTTACATACACGTATTTCCTAGCTCTTTTTGCTACAAAGACTTAAATGCAGTGACACCCCACTACCAAGGAGCATATCTACCGCCCAGATCTTAGATTCTAAATACTATTTCCTGCTCTAGGGAACCAGAGCCCTTGGAGAAATGGCTGATTCCAGGTTTGTGTGAGATGAGCCTGGAACATCTTGTGATGTCAGAAAGTAAGGAAGTGCTCAAAAAATTATGTAGACACAGGGGTCAGCTTGAAGGGCCTTCTGCTGGCCATATCTGGGACAGTTTGAGTATCAAAATAATGGCAGTAATGGATTATAACCCATTGCATAAAATAAGAATCCACAAATCCATACTGATATAGAAGAATAATTAATAAATATAAAAGAAACGATGGAATTAGATAACTATCATTTGCAACCATCTTAGCAAAAATCGATTCAAGTCAACGATTTCAGGTAAAAATCATCAATGGATGTTAAAGCCAGTGGGTGAAAGTCAATGAGGAATGAGACATTTACACCTCCAAGTATTTTTCCCACAGATTGCTGATTAATTACAAACGGGAGAAACAGTAACGTTCCAGTGGCAAAACCTGGTGGACACCACCTTAAGCAATCAAAGTTAACATCACCAAGAGTGGGATATGTCCCTCCTGACAATGCACTGAGGACACATCATTTATATATGTTCCTGCCAAAACTGCATACCTGAATCTATTCATGACAAAACATCAGAGAAACCCAAATTGAGAGAGATTCTAGAAAACAACTGGCCTGTCCTCTTCAGGAGTGTCAAGAATGTCAAAGTTAGGAATGAAAAAAAATGGCTGAGGAATGGTTTTAGATTAAAGGAGACTAAAGAGACGTGACGAGTACATGCAGCATGTGACCCTGGACTGGGTCCTGGCCCTCTCTCTAGTGCCTGCACCCCTCGTTCGTGGGTGGGGTGACCTGGGGTGATAACTGGCATTCCTTTCCTGATTGCAGAACTGTGGCCCTCAGATACACGCTCAACCTGTCTATAATCCTCAGATATAAGACACATATGGATGTCTGGCGCCAAGACATAAGCAATACTTGCGTAGCCTGGCCATGTCTGGGCTAAAGGACAGAATCACCAGGTGGATCCCCAAATGACCAACAGTTCTGAGTCGATGGTGAGGGTCCCCTCTGCAGGCCCAGTGTTCAGAGGAGGCCAGTTGTTTTAGTGATGGATGTAGATCGGCCAGGGTGGGTGGGGGGTGTGGGTGACCCACATCAACCCTTGCGAGTGCTCGCTCCTTGGAGTGGGGCTGGAGCTGCCGTGTGGTGTGGTGGGTCACCGTTGGGAGAAAGGAGGCCCAGGCCTGGTGCAGCTGCAGCACAGATAAGCAGAGGCTGGGAGGTGAGTGAATACAATGTTTAATAAACTTGTCTGTGCATGCCTGAAGTTCAGCCTACCTTGGTGATCACATCTCTCGGATGGACGGTGTGGATGGCCTGGGTGGATGGGGGATGCCGCCCACCCTCAGCCTGTGTCCCGCTAACTACACAGCCTTGAATAGGCTTTTGTATCTGTATCCCAGTAATAACGCCAGTTGATTGTGCCCATCACCTTAGGAGGGGAGCGAGACTGGGAGTTAGCCATGCCAGGGCTAACAAGGATTGGAGGGAGGAGGGATCACTGTCTGGGACAGAGGGAGATCTGGGAGCAGGAAGGAGTGATATGGGGGCACCAGGGATGGGCAGGAAGATTGAGGATGACGGTCCAGCCCCCAGCAGGGCCCCGGGAGGCAGGCGGACAGCTTAGAGGCGAACCTCCAGCAGGTAGCGCAGGCGGCACTGGCTCTCCTGGTAGATGAGATACTCGCTCTGCAAGAAGCTGGAGCTGCTGAACTCCGGGCAGGGCATGGGCGGGCCCTGGGGTACCACAACTTTCTGGCCATCCAGCTCCAGCTCGGTGTCCTGGGTCGGATCTGCAGGGCACAACAAGGGCCATGGTTATCCAAGGGTCACTGGTCCTTGGCTTTACCAGCTCTCCACTTCTGCTACAGGGAATGCTTGCTCATTCCTACCTTGCCAACCTCTAAACTACTTCACAGGCTGGGCCTTCTGTCTGGAATATCCTCCCCCAGTGCTCTGCCTGGGAAATGCCTACTCATCTTTCAATGCTCAATGAGACCTCTTCTTTGAAGCCCACCCGGATGCCCAGGAATGATCTGTTAAACCAGTGAGTGTTTGTTGAATGACAAAGTGAATGACTGACTGCAGTGATGAACCTGCTTCTTTTCGTCCTTCTCCACAGCCCCTTCTCTGCTCACCTCCTCCCTGAAAGCATCTGGTCCCCCATCTCACTCCCACCTTTTGTCCAGTTTCTTGGAGCTCACCAGGTTCTGTGTGGCCTCGGGCGATGACACTGTCGAAGCCAGGGGGTGGCTGCTTTAAGCTAGGCTCATCAATGGTGATGTGGTGTTCTCTGCCCAGTGCCACCTCACTCAGGAACATGTAGCCGATGTGGTGGGCCCCACAGCGCATGCCAGTAACTGGGGGACACAGGGAGGCTCAGGGTGGGCAGCTCGGCCCTCCTGGCTGACTCCCTGGGCCCTTCTCTCTTGCATCATTATCTCCTCTGGCTTTGCTGCCCCAGGCCAGAAAAGTGCCCATTCTTCCTCCATCCTTAAAAACACCTCCTTGGGGCTGGCCCTGTGGCTGAGTGGTTAAGTTCATGTGCTCTGCTTCGGTGGCCCAGGGTTTAGCTGGTTTGGATCCTGGGCGCGGCCATAACACTGCTCATCAGGCCATGCTGAGGTGGTGTCCCACATGCAACAGCTAGAAGGACCCACAACTAAAATATACAGCTATGTGCTGGGGGGACTTGGGGAGAAAAAGCACAAGGAAAAAAAAGAAGATTGGCAACAGTTGTTAGCGCAGGTGCCAATCTTAAAAAAACAAACAGACAACAAAAACACCCCCTTGTTCTGGCCGTGCTCCCTCCTTCCTCTCTCCTCCACTCCTCGGCTCTCTGAAGCCAGGCCTCTACACTCCCTGCCGCCCTCACCAAGGTCAGGAATGGCCTCCCAGTGACCAAATACGGAGCAAGGGGCTTTTCTCCCTGGCCTGTTCTGCTGATTTTGCCACTGGCATCCTTCACCCCTTATCCTGGGACGTCCTTGCACTGGCTCTACTAAGGCTGCCCTCCATTCCTTCTTAGGCTCTTCTGCCCTCCCAGTGGACCCCTCGGCCTTGGGCAGCCTCAGATATCCTAGAACTTCAGCACCATCCGCCCTCGGATGAATCCTTAGAACTTGCTCTCTTAGATGGGTGGGTGGTGGTGGTCTCCAATGATGGGGTCAGCCTGGGCTGAGGAGCCAGTCTGGGGAGGTCACCTCAGTGAGGACACCTCGGGAAACATACTTGGGGGTCATTAGAGAAACTTTCAACCCTTTCCCATACGCTGCCCCTCCTACCTCCCATATGTCCCTCTCATGGACTCTCTCCTCCCCCACCTCTACTGCTCTGGGCTGGGCACCCATCACATCTGGCCTGGATGAGAGCCTCCCTCCCTGCAGCCTCTGGCCTCTGCCACCCTCCCACAGCTGCAGCCACTGAGATCCTGTTATACGCAAATCTAACTGGGCTCCCCATTGCTCCCTGGATGAGGCTCCCTTGACCCTCCAGGGCCCCAGCCCCTGCCCACCCCAGGCACGTGCTCTAAGCTTTAGGATCAGGTCATGCTCGGAGGTCCTGACCTGCTGCAGCCTCCCAGCCTTTGTGCCACCCTGGGCTGCTTTACCTCGAAGGCTCCTCTTTCGCCCCCTCCCAGGTCTGGTTGGCACACTCATCCTATCTGCATTGCCTTCTCCAGGAAGCCATCCCTGACCACTGGGTGCCTCCCTTGAGTCCCCCCAAGCCCTAGGATGCCCCACTGAGCACTCTGGGCAGTAACCACTCAAGGGTTCCTCTCCCAGATCCACCACAAGTTGGGCAAGCACTGGGCTGAGTCCTCCTTAGTGTCTCCATACCCGCCCAGGGCTTGGCCCTGAGCAGCATCTCACCATAGCCAGCTGACTTGCTGTTTTCTGAGGCGAAGTAGATGCCCTTGCCAACACGGCCACCAGAATGTGGCATGATGCGGAGCCCGCTGGTGAGGATGGCGGCCACCACAGCCACGTTGGTGCCATGCCACAGTAACCTCCGATTACCCAGCTTGGAGTGGGCCTGGAACCTATCTCCCTGGAGGAGAGAAGGTGGGAACCGGGAAAGTCATGCCATCCAAGCTCAGGTGCTTCTCCCTGCTGTTCAGAGGGTACAACCAAGGCTGAGGGCCCCTCTGGCCACTCACGCACACACACACAAGACCTAGGCCTTGCAAAACTGATCAGAGTGGCTAGGCTGAGTACTAAGGGGCAGATAAGCCAAGGTCATCTCCATAAAGTGATGGGATAAGGTAGTGACGGAATAGGTGAGGGGACTCTCCCTCACCTCTCCTTCTCGGTTCACTTTCCAAACATGTTGAAGAGCAGGGCACCTGTAGTTGTTGCCCGTATGTTTTAAGTAGGTATGAATCACCTGTGGGAAGAGCAGAAGCGGTGTGCCAAGGGTGAGAGACGTGTTCTTAGGCCCTAGAAACACAGGGAGAGAAGGCTGAAGGCAAGGGACTCCTCTGGGCACCTGGAGGGCAGATGGGCAGAGGGACGGTGCCCATTGTTAGCCCAGCTCCTCTGTGGGGCCCTGCCCACCTTGTAATCAGGTGCCTCTGGGTCTAGCAGCTGAAGCTGGCACTTGAGGAGCTGGTAATCTCGGTCCAGTGGGTGTGGCACCTCCTCCACCTTCTTCTCCTCAGGAGCTGCCTGTAGGGTCTGGGCCAGCTCGATGTCTGCCAGCACCTAAGATGATGGGCTCTAGCAGCTTGTCTATTTGACTCCTGGCCTCCCTTCTCCCTCCCACAGCACTAGGACCATGGCTACCCCACCTGTCTGTCCACTTGTTCATCCCCACCCCATCTATCTGTCTGGCCTTCTCCTCCTTCGGCTTGCCTGTGGCAGTCCACCTATCTGGGGCTTCTTGGCCATCTGTCCTCCCTCCCCTGCCCAGTCTATCTGTTTGATACCCCCACTGTCTGCCCACCCGCCAACCCTCACCAGCAGCATGTCCTTCTTGGCCTGCAGAAGCTCAGGGGAGTTGATGGGCGGGGGCCGGCTGCGGCCAAAGTTGTGGGGAATGACAGTGTAGAAGCGGGAAGACAGCTCCTCCAGGTTGAGGCCACCATCTGAGGGGGTTTTCAGGGCCACCTCCAGTGCCTCTAAAGCCTCGAAGCCCCGTGCAATCTGCTGCTTGCTCAATTTTCCCAGGGGCATCTTCTTCACATCTAAGGGGATGGGGAGAGTGGGGAGACTCAGCCCCAGAGCCCTGCTACCCCTGGGCCCCTGCAACCCTACCTGGCTCCTCTCCTCTCACCCAGGTTCATGAGGGCCATAGCATTATTGAACATGTCCTTGCTGAAGATATTGGTGATGAGCTTCTGTGTGGCTGTATCCAGGGAGCAGGGCTGCACCTGCTGGACCACGGTCCTCAGTGGGCCTCCGTCCACCTAGGGATAGAGGGTGCATGTGGGTAGGCGCAGCTGGGCAGGGCACCTGCGCCTGGAGCAGGGCCCAGCATAATGCAGAGTTTGGCCAGACTGAGGCCCATGCACCCTCCCTGGCCACTCCGCCTCTCCACCTTCACCACGGCTTCCTGGGTTTCCTCCTCTCCTTGTACTTCGATAAGTGTGTACTTGCCGGGATGGGCCACAAAGCGGTCCCTCTCCGCCCAGCTGTTCTTGGTCTTGTCTCGAAATTTCTTCTCAAAGTCCTTCTTTGCATCCTCCAGTAACACGAAGTAGTTGAGCTTTGACTGGCCCACCTCTCCCTGCAACCAACAGCCTTCAGGGGCATGCCCTCCACCGTGCCCACCGCAAACATCTGCTAGCTTCTGCTGTGCCAGGCCCTGTGCTGAGTGCCCCTGGACAGTTGGAGGTGGGGAGGTGGCACAGTCAGCAGCCGTGGGCTTTCGGCCTGAGAAACCTGTGGGGACCCTGGGGAGCAGGGGGCATGTGTTGAGCAGGGAGAGGTGGGGAGGAGGCAGGCACAGGTGGGCAGGTGGCACTCACCACACGGCCCCAGCGGTTCCAGCAGACAAAGCGGTCACCCGCTTCCAGCAGCTGGATGATGTAGAACTTGTTGTTGTTGTTCCCGATGTTGGTCTGGTTCAGGGTACAGTTGTAGTCTTCATGCACCTGGGGCCAGAGGGGGCACGGGGAGGGCAGGCTGGCTTGGGCTGCCCTTGGGTGGGACGGGGCAGCCAGCCACACACTGATAGAGATCTGACGGGGACAGGAGTCAGACTGCATTGGGGCGTCAGAGGAGGCCCCGCTTGTGAAGGCTAGAGGGGGTCATGGTTCTGGCCTGTGGGACACAGTCTGAGGGGACATGGCTAAACTTGGGCAATGGAGAGAGGTTCTGGGGGAACATAACTGTGCCCTGGGTCTGGGGATCTGAGGGACACATGGTTCTGCCTTGGGGGTTCTGACAGGGACACAACCCTGCCCTGTGGGTGATCTTAGGTGTCATGGCCCTACCCTGTGTGGCTGGTTTGAGGGGACATAGGTGAGTCCTGAGGAGACTGAGGGGGTCAGAACCCTGCCTTAAGTGTGGTGGTGGGAGGCCTGAGAAGCTCAGGGGCCTGTGCTGGGGTCTGAAGAGCAGACATGACCTGCCCAGATTTGATAGGATATAGCCCTGCCAGACCTTTGGGGTCTTGGGAGAACATAGCTTACTTGGGAGCCTTGAGCTATGTGGCCAGAGCCTAGCCCCAGTGGGGAGGGGAGTGGGTCTTGAATGTATTTGTATCTAGGAGACTCTGGGCCTCTGGAGACCCAGGGACTACAGCTTACCTGGGTCCCCGGGCTGCCACTGAGTGGGCATGCAGGGTCCACTCGGACTATGCACTTCTCTGTGGGTGCAGCCCTGAGGGCCTCTGCAGTGGAGCGGAAGTTGTCATCCTCTGTCCCCTGGCGCCCCTTCTTCTTCTCAGGGCCCTCATGCTGTGCAGGGGCTTTGCGCTTTGGAGTCATGGCTGTTCTGGGGCACTGAGGAGGACCTCAGGCCTCATAACTTCCGCACCCACCTGGCTGGCAAAGCACAAATTGCTGTACCCTGGGTTTGCCCTTTGGTGACCTCCCACTGCCTCCACCTGCCTCCACTTCCCCATTCCCAGGCCCAGACCAAAACTGGCTCTCTGCACCCCAGATACACCCCTTTCCCTACTCACAGGGGCCAGGCCATGACCCTGTCCAGTCTGCCCACGTCGGTCAAGGAAGAGTGGTTCCCTACCTTCTCTAGCTCTCCAGTGTGTTTCTGACATGATAGGGAAAGTGAAAGGAAACTCTCCCCCACCACTTCTGGGCTCCTCCTCCCTCCAGAACACTCGCTGGGTACTGCCTGCTCCTGCCCCCTCTCAGCTAACTTGGACCTGGCATAGTTGCTAGGCTGAGTCACCCCAGCTATGGAGGAAAGTGGGCAGCTGTCCTGGGGGCAGCACTCCTGGACCAGACCTGTCCCTCCAGAGCTTGGGACTCAGTAGCGTAAAAACCCTTCCCAAAGGGCTCAAGAGTTCTGGGGTGCCAGCCAGGGTTGTAGACCACTAGCCCTGTACAGCCAGAGGGCAAGGGCCAGTCCCACCCCGCCCTGCCCTGTGGAAGGCTGTGGGCAGGTCCATAGGACACTCACCTAAGAGAAGTAGAGACCTGGGAGAGGGCACGGCTACTATCAGCAATTCCTGGCAGTCCTAGTTCCAGGGCCCCCTCTAGCAACCCTCTGTAAGCTTTAGGCTTCCCGGCAATCGCCAGAGGGGTGGAGCTGAGGTTGGAGTGTAGGATTTCAGTTATGTGGCCACCAGTCGGGTGAGTCAGAAGCTGGGCAGGCCGAGGGCGGGGAGCCTCTCCCACGGATGGGTGGACACTTGATCAGGACATAGCCAAAGCCCAGGGGATTGACGCCGCCCTTAGCGCTGCTCATCTCGCCTGAGGCATGCAATACGTGTCCACCGGTTGCCCAACGACCTCGGGCCCGCGTACTGGCATTGCCTCCCTCTCCCCGGGGCTGCCTGGATCCCCCCCGTTATCTAGTGTCAGGCTGGTTCACCCTTGTCCCCGCCCCCGACGGGGAGGAGGCACGCTCCAGCACAGGGAACCCTGTATCTCTGGCGCCCCCAAGCGTACAAGACGCGCAATCACACAGAAGGCCCTCCTGGTCGGACTCCTCCTTTAGACGTCAGCTAAGTAGTAGAGCGCACGCGCCGCAGCCTTGGTCCGGAAGCGCAGAGAAGAGGCTTGCTTCCTATTGGAGATTGGCCGGAGCTCAAGGAGGCGTGGCCACAGGCGTTTATCCTATGGGCGCTTGGGGGCGTGACAGAGCCTACTGAAGGACCCAATGGAGCTGTGAGAGGCGGGGCGTGCCGGGCTATGGGAGCCTATCAGGGCGCGGAGTCTTGCCGGACCGCGCGGGTTTAGTCGCCACGTGAGCTCACCAGCGGCTGCGGCAACACACACGGCCGGCAGCATGTCAGCGACAGCGGCGGCTCGAAAGCGGGGAAAGCCGGCCTCGGGGGCGGGGGCCGGGGCCGGTGCGGGGGCCGGCAAGCGGCGGCGAAAGGTGAGCGTGGCGCTTCTGTTGGTCGGGGTCAGTACTACTAGGACCACTATCCCAGCCGCGGGCTCCGGGCCCTGGTCACCTCCCCGGCCCTTCTCACGGGACCCCAGCTGGAGTCAGCTTCGTTCCTCTCTCCGCGAGCTGAATCCTGGAAGGCTTTGCACTTGAGCCGGGGCCACCGCCTTTCCCAGTCCCGGGGCTCGCGAGAGACCGGAAGGGGCCCTTGATCAGTGCCGGGGTGGTGGGGACCCTTGATCAAAGATCATATAATTAATTCCCAGGCCGACTCTGCTGGGGACAGGGGCAAGTCCAAGGGTGGCGGCAAGATGAATGAGGAGATCTCTAGCGACTCAGAGAGTGAGAGGTGAGCTCTTTTTTCCTACCTAGTGGAAGGGAACACTGAGGCCCATGGTGTGTGGAGGACTCTGAGTCGGGGCAAAGCTGGGCCTAGAACCCAGAACTCTGGTCCTTGGCTCTCAGATCTTGGCCCTTTCCTCCAGTTTCCGACCCTGAGAAGTCTCATGTCCTTCCCTGCAGGGTCTCTCTGTTGGGGGGACTGCCAGCCCCAGTGGGAGACCACTGAGACCTCCCTGGCTTATGGCAGGCAGCTGAACACAGGCTGGACTGACTGGCAATGGGAGAGGGATGCAAGCATTGCTCGCTAGTTCATCATTATGTTTTCCCACGGTTTCATAATTGCTTTCCCCCTTGACTCTCAACATATGCCAGGCACTGGCTTCACTGTTGAAAGTACAGAGATGAGCAGGCAGGTGAAAGCCAAATGTGTTGTAATGGGATGCATATCTTACAGCTTGTGTTCTGGGAACAGAGGAGGCTACATTTAAATAGAGAGATGAGGAGGATTCCTTCATGGAGAGGGAGGGAAGGCATTCAGGGATCAGAGAAAAGTCTGGGGTGTAAGTGTACCAGAAGGGGAGATGGAGAGGTGGTGGATGCATCCAGATTGTGGAGGGCTTTGAATACCTGTCTCATTCTGCCGGTGACGGGGATGGGGTATGTTGCAGGGTTTCAAAGGGGGCTAGCTGGGTGTCAGGCCTGACCCTGTGGAATGGCAACCCTCATACCAGGGAATCCTGGTGCCTTCTTTAAGAGTTGGCTTTGGAAATTCTGCTTCTGAAATACGTGTTGGCCTTAATCTGCTCACAGGAAGACTTCTATACTTTTCTTAGTCCTAAGGTTGCTGTGAGTGGGCGTGTGCCAGGCCCTGGGCTAAACACTTTCAAGTGTGTTTAAAATGTGTTGTGAAATGTATTAGAAATGGAAGAGTTCATGAAATGTATTTGCACTAGAAAGAGTAATGATGAATGATGAACCTCTGGGTGCCCAACACTGAGGTTAAGAGGTAGACCATTTGCAGAAACTTAGAAGCCCCAACTGCCATTCCTTTCTTTGGGTTCTTTCCTTCCTTCCTTTTTCTTCTTTTGTAAAATTTTCTCATTCAACTATAATTTACATACAGTAACGTTCACCTTTTTTAGTATACAGTTCGATGAGTTTTGACAGACGCATATTTCTGTAGCTACCACCACTATGAGGCTACAGAAGGGTTTCATCACCCTCCAGAATTCCTCCCTCGTCTTTTGTGTCAGTTCCTCTCCCTTCCCGCAGTCCCTGGTAACTTCTGTCCCTATAGTTTTGCTTTTTCTGTAATGTCATATGAGGGGACTCATACAATGACCACTTCTCCTGGTTGTCTATAGAGTTCTGTCTCCTATGTGTGAAGCCCTAAACAAGAGATTGATTAGTTTGGGTAAACTGAGTAGAAGTTCTGACTTTGGCTCTGTAAGGGAAGGGCAGCACCAATCCTGTTGGCTGAAGCCTTGCTGGGCACTGGGTACTAAATGGTCCCTGGGGCATGGTCTGGCCTTGGCTTCCTTGAATTTCCAAGGTCCCTTCTGGGGAAGTTGTGGGCAAGGTCATGTATGAGTCCTAGGAACCAGTTGGAGCACCTGTCAGGGACTAGAGATCTGCAGGCACATGATTGAGGGAACAGGCTGCCCTGGGTTTTCTGCTTCTTAGTTCCCATGATCTACTTCCAGTGACCAGGAGTAAGTCAAAGTAGGACTTTAGTGAAGTGAGTGCTCTCAGCTGGTCCAGGGCCTGGGGCACGGAAGGGAAGGCGGGGACTTCACCAGCACGAGGTCAAGCCAAGACTAGTTAAACTTCACCTGGAATCTTGTCCTCAGGGTAGAGGATGGTGCTCTGGCAGTGAGGATGAAGCGATGACACTCTCAACCTGTCTCGGGTCCTTGGGTAGGATCTGGGCTGGCAGCTCTCCCATGTCTGGGGGCGGGGGTTCTGGGATCTACCTTTTTGCTCTTCATGTTGTATCTCCTGTTTCCTGTCTTGTATGCTTATCTCATTCTCAGTTCACCCTCTTGTTCAGGAGCACATCCTCCATCCTTAGAAGAAGGAGGAAGGACCAACTCTGTGACACCTTATATATCTGACACTCTCTTCACTTGTTGGTTTAACTGGCACGGCATTCCAGGGGTTAGCATTTTCTTTCGGAATTTCGTGTGCGCAGCTCCTTTGTCTTGCTGCTCTCAGTGTTGCTGTTGAGACGTCTGAAGTCATTTTGATTGCTGACCTTTGTACACAACCTGATTTTTCTTGGGAGGCTATAGAACCTTCTCTTTCCTTCCAGAGTTGAGAGATTTCGCAGTGATCCCTTTGGGTTTGGGGTCTATTTTCACCCTTATGACAGGCACTGGGTGGGCCCTTTCAGTTTTCTGCATGTGTAATCATTGGCCATGACGGCTGGTAGGGATGGGGGCGGTTGAGTGGCACGGGGAGCAGCCAGGAGGTATGGTCCTAGTGGCCAGAGCAGCAGCTTTAGTCCTCCTCAAACCCGGCCCCTCCTGCCCATAGCCTAGCTCCCAGGAGGACTGAGGAGGAGGAGGAGGAGGAGCTGGAGGAGACCGCCCAGGAAAAGAAGCTGCGTTTGGCCAAGCTCTACCTTGAGCAGCTCAAGCAGCAAGGTAAGCCCATGGGCTGGGCAGGTGAGGGGTGGGACCTGTGCCTAAGCCTGCGTGATGCAGTCCCAGCCACATGATGGGTGATTGATGCATGTACATGCTGGGCTGCCAGGGCGCCCAGTACTGGCCACCCTGTGGGAGGGTGGCCAGGAGCTCTAATGGACCTCCTGGGGCAAGCCAGACCTTCAGGTGTCTTTAGACTGGTCTGATAAGTAAAGACAGGGAGTGGGCAGGAGGAGACCATCCAGCCTTCCCTCCCCTTTGCCTGAAGCAGGCTGACTTCCCTTGGGACACAGCCTAAGTGTTCAGGGCCCAGAACTGAGGTGGTGGGGTGGGGTTGGGAAGGAAAAAGTGGGGTTTTGGCCTGGGTTTACTTGGTCTGCTCTGTCCTACACAGAGGAGGAGAAGGCTGAGGCCCGCGAATTTGAGGAGGACCAGGTGGCGGGACGCCTGAAGGAGGATGTGGTGAGTGTGGAGGGAGGGTGATGGGAGGGAAGTGATGGGGCTGGTCCTGCTCCTGGGATCTCACCTCTTTCCTCTCCATGCAGCTCGAGCAGAGGGGCAGGCTGCAGAAGTCGGTGGCAAAGGAGGTGAGCGGGCAGGGCACTTTGATGTGCCTTGGAGGGAATTCGGGGTCCCACCTGGGTTGGTGGGCAGATGGCCCAACTGAGGACTCAGGCTGTGGAGTCTTTGGTCTGGAACATGTGGGCATTTTCGCAGACAGAGTCAGGTAAGGATCTGGTCCTTGTGGCCCTGGGTCCGGCTTTCCTTCTGGGCAGGGTGGTGGGAAAGGATGGTGTGTGCGTGGAGGGGTGCCTTCCTGCCCCCAGTTGCAGTGACCCAGCCCCGACCTGACCAGATCCAGGCACCAGCGCCAACCGACATTCGAATGTTACGGGGCCACCAGCTCTCCATCACGTGTTTGGTTATCACCCCAGATGACTCGGCCATCTTTTCCGCTGCCAAAGACTGCACCATTATCAAATGTGAGTGAATGCCTGGGTCAGGGTGTGGCTCCCGGGGGTCATCCAGGAGGGCTGGTCTGGGGAGGAGGCCGTAATTAAGGCAAACTGAAGCCTGATGAGGGAAGCTTCTAGAAGCAGGTTTGCTCCCAAAGAGGTGTTTTCTGTGTGACAGCAGAAGCTTCTGCTCAGGAGTGGGGCTTGTGAGCTCCCTGACACTGTCATTGGATTGAGTTCCTGGTCCTCTTGGGTTCCCAACCTTCGACAACTGAGTTCTGTCCTCATCCATCCTGTTCATCAGCAGGAAGAACTTGCACCATCTGTGTCAAAGCACTTTGCTGTCCCTTCTCTTCTGGGCTTCATGGCTGCCCTTTGGGATTATTGTCACCACTTAACAGATGAGGAAACTGAGGTGACTTGTCCAGGGGCTGAGCCAGATCTGACGTGAGGCTAGGACTTCATTACCACATGCTGCGCTTGAGGGGGCGTTGCCAGCCAGTCCTGTCTGCCATCCTAGTAGCCTC